ACAATAAATAAATGTAATAAATAAAAATAAATAAATATTTAAAAAAAAAAGGGGGAAAGGGAGAAAGAGCATTTTCAGGAGGCTTTCTTGTTGGCCAGGTCTGGACAGGGCGCGCATCATTTCCCATACTGTTATTGAGCTCATACCCAGATGGCAAAGGATTCTGGGGCAAGTGCCTTCCTGTGCACCCGGGAGGAATAGGGAATAGGCTTTGGTGACCACTCGGAGGCTGTACCAGAGCAAGCTTGCCAGAGCCAGGCAGCCCCTGGATCAAGCAGGCCTTTGGGTCCCAGAGTAAAGGAACCTCACTGATAGCTGCTGTTTGGGTGTTACAGACCAACTCATGTGATCAGAATCTAAATAACTGCCTTGAACTCATCGAACAAGTTGCCAAAGTGCAGGGACAACTCTTTGGAATTCTCACTACAACGGCTCAAGAAGGTGAGAATACAGTAGCCTGTGTTTCCTGACCTGCTGGTCTCTTTAAGCTTTCTTGGGTCTCTACAGCTAGATTTCTCTCACTAATTGGGTGTGTGCACTCTCATAGGAGGACGTAACGATGGTGTGGAGACAATCAAGTCACGCCTGCTGCCTTGGTTAGAAGCTTCTTTTACCGCTGCTTCCCTGGGAAGACCTATTGATAACAAGGTGCCCTCTCTCCAGGTAGGAGGCTGAAGCCTGGCCTTTGACTTTCTGGAGCAGTACAATAAACCAGAACTTCTAAGAAAAGGAGAAAGCTTAGAGTGTCTCAGTTTGGGATTGATATTCATAGTTTCCATGGGACAGCACTGGCATCCAACAGGTGGAGACCAAAAAGATGCTGTGTGTACCTTACCTAAGGCATCAGCATCATGGTATCTGGATCAGCAAAGCTACTGTACCCTAAGCTTTTTATGTTGTCATGATCAGTACTTGAGGCTGCATAATGTTGAGAGAGGTTTACTTTGCTCTCAGTTTTGGAGGCTGAAGGTCCAAATGGCATGATGCTGGCTCCAGCAGTGCACGGCACTCCAGTGGTAGGAGACCTGCTGGTGGGGGAGCGCGTAATGGAGACAGAAGGCCAATGTGCAAGGAATGAGGCTCGCTTTTTTTTTTTTTTTATAACAGCTCTCTCAAAAACTGGCAGAGTTCCATGAAACTTGTGTTAATTCCTTTCTTTTTTCTTTTCTTTTCTTTTTTTTTTTTTAATTCCTTTCTAAGGTGGTGCCCTCAGTGACTTAATTGTTTCCTATTAGGCCCATCTTGTAAAGGTTGTACATTAACTTTTTTTTTTTTTTTTT